GGGGGGAGGAGTTTTCACATCTCCCCCTTTCACTCCCTACAAAGTGGAAACGCCATATTATCTTACAGTATAGTTTTGCCCTCTTCACGATTATCTACATAGCCGAGGAGAAACGTGAAATCCACAAACATTAGAAGATGTCACACTCCCCCTCCTCCCCTAATAATTAAAATAATTTCAGCTGTCATTATTGGATCTTCTAGAGATGAGCAATGTTTGGGGGCTGATTAAAGCTTAATGACTCCATAAACAAGCAAACAAACAAACAAATAAACAAACAAACAAAACAAAACAAATCAACAATCGTGAAACAAACGAGCTACCAGAGGGAAAAGACGTTCGTTGTAAAATGCTGAAACACATGTGCAGCATTATAAAAAAATCCCTAAAAAACCCACAACAAAAACAATAATTAGAAAATCAAAATAAAAAACGCAGCCACACAAAACATATAATGTACGAAAGCTAACACATTTATTTAGAACACAACGGACTACTCCACAAAGTGTGTAATGTTTTGTGAAGAATAAAGTTATAACTGTTATGATACATTTCAAAAGGACAACAATCTGAATTCTCATTACGGAGACAACAATATATTATTCTGAAAAAAACAACCAAACCCAACCATAACGCATAAATACAAAGCATCGTTGACGAATGAGCATTTTTATTGACCAAACCCAACCAATGGGATGGCAATTTATTCAAACATGAATCTAAACATTATGCTAGAATTCATATGCAGCCTTTTATCTGCGCAATTTCAGTCCCTGTACGGAAATCTGATCATTCACATATTATTCAGAGAATGAAATAGACAGTTTTCAGAAAACATCACGTATAATCCCACCTGCTCCGACGGCCACCTGTATAATACGATCACATGTACAAACAGTCACTTCCTATTTCTCCCCTCAACTATATTATGTACATTAAAGTGCCACTGTTTAAGACGGGTACTTGTCTAAGACGGCCCCTTTTCTCCTTGACGATGGGTGATCGTCTCTGACAATTTCGCCTAAGTAGGAATGTTCGAGAAGGAAGATTATTGTTATTCTGTATGATGTCATACTATGAACCCCCCCCTTTTTTTTTCTTCCTCACTCCCACCCCCACCAACTCCATCTTTCCGCTCCTCGACAAACAAAACAAGCAACAGCAACAGAACAAAAAGTAAGCAGAAACAAAAATAGAAAAGCATATTATCATCAAGCATAACCCACTTAAAGATACAGACAAAAGTCTTTTTGTATCTGTCTGAGGGTCAGTCTATACGAGCTTCTCAAGATACCAGTTTCCTATGTCATCCCACATAAACAAACCGCTACTTTTGAATTACAGAGTTTTTTCAGACATTTTTGACTGTTTTGAGTTACTCTGACCATGAGGTCAGAAACCGATTTTTGTTCTATCTGCTTTATCAAAATAGTAAGATTATTTGGAGCCGTTATAAAGATATTCAATTATTATTACATTTGAAATAACTTGACATGTGAAACTCAAAACTTTTTTTCGTCGAGTTTCTCAAAACTAATCACTGAGCAGATAGAACTTTGTAATTCTAAAGTAGCGAAATGTCACTCCTGTTCTCGGTTTTGTTGCAGTGATGTAAATCCGTTTTTCACAACTCATTGGAAAGATCATAAAATTATACTTCAGTGAAACGATCGTAAGTCAAGACAGAAAAACCCTAAACATACTGCTATCGGGCGTTACTTGTAAATAAGGCCAAACAGGAGTGAATTCGATTCCTGGTCTGTTGGATAATAATTTGTGTAATAGTAAAAAAACTTTTCATTATTTTTGAACAGCTCATCGAACTGCAAATTGGGCCTTGGAAATCAGCAGAGATGCCCACCATGCTTCAACTCTAAATACCCCTGAGGGAAGAAAGGAGGGAAGGGGGGGGAATTGATTAAGAACAGACCTGTTAATACCCCATGCCCGTTGGGGGATTGGTTCTTTAACACAGACCGGTTGCCCGACTCGCGGCCTTGAAAACAAACGACTTTGTTTTTGAAGGTCACCTTCGGGTTCGTTCGGTTTGTGCCACGATAGTAGCTTTTCGCCTTCAATCTGGCTAGCCCCGCCTACCAAACCGAAGCGAACCGGTCGTGCCAAGGGGCACTGGGTGTAATGTGATACTGAGACATCAAGTGAGTCTTCAGAGGGATACACAGCACCAGAAATACGCACTTTATTTACCAATTTAGCGTGGGTACATAAGGCCATAGAGGCTGTTTAAGAGGATCGGTTGAGCTTCAATATGAAACATCATTTTTCATTGCACGTAGCGACCAATAGCGACCAATAAAATAACTCATCAAACCATTAAAAAATCCCTTGACAGTGACAATTCACAGTGGAAATTCCAAGGTAGGAACAATGAACCGTTGCGTATGAACAAAATAATGAATAACACAGCCTTAAATAGAGGATGATCATTTTTCCCCTCGAAAGTAACACTGCAAGTCGCTGCTTAAAAACAAACTCAAAACCTTGTCAAAAATACGAAAAAACACACAAAGGCGTCTTCTGCTCTGGGTGCCTACACATTCTTTTTTAGCAGTGCAGGCTGGACCATAAAAGGCACACATTAATCACAGACTTTACAGTAATAAAAATTCAAAACCTTTATAAAAACAGCACACAAGGGGATGTTTTGACATTTAAAAAATATTTTTTTAAACTCAGAAGAGGTCACAACATCGGTGGTGGGGTT